ATGCGCCTTTTAATTTCCTGGCTGCTGGTGCCAAGACTGTTGACTGTGGAGCCAAGCAAACTAAAGCTGTGTACAATCTCAATCTCTTCACCATCTATCCTGATGCTGCCAATTGGTCCGGTGGTGAGAATCTTTGTCTTCTTGACATTGAGCCTCAATCCATATTGTAGGCTGCAGTCCTTGACACTCTAGAGTAGTAAATATATTGTCCAACAAAAATAAAAGCTGTAACAGATCTTATAAAAAAATTGTAAATGTAAATATCTATATTTGTAGTTAAAAAGCCAATGATAAGAGGAAAGACTGTGGGGGAAATAGTATTATCAACATAGTTTGTCTACAAATGCTAGACTGTTATGCAAAAACTGGCATTTTATGAAAATGGTGGATGACTCACATCAGATCACAAAACAGAAAACAACTATACCATTACCTAACTGGCAACTTACAGAATTAGGTAACTACTGAAACAGTGAGAGTCACGGACAGGCAGCTGACACTTAACCTTGACCATCACAGCCAGCATTATTTTATCCTTGCACTTCAGGATTCATTAATGCTCAAAACAGTTAAACAGTAGATTAAGTGTTGTCACAAATACAAAATGTTAGATTAGGAGAGAAGTCAATGACTAAGGAGTCAGTATGTTTTGTCAAGCTATTGCTATATTCAGTTGAGTTTTAACTGACTCCTAACTGACCCTTCAGCAGGTTTTCAGAGGCTGTAAATCACATAGGACATCAGCCATCTTTCTCCTGAGGAACAACTTACAGATTTGAATTTCCTGCCTTTGGGCTGGCAACACCACTCTATAAATAACAGAGTGAATAGACTATTAAAAATGCAATCTTCTAATAATATTTATTAAAGCACATCAAGTGAACACTATCATTTTCTTCTGAAAGTTCTGAGTAGGAAAAAGTATCAATGGAACCAGAAGGTAAATCACAAAAGTTTACCATCAACACCACGGTACACATAAGGAGGAGGTATTTGCAGGGTGAGTTGAAGAAGATGTACCACTGTTGTTCTGTCCTTGAGACATCTACAACTTGTAGCGGCCCTGTGAACAATAGCTCTGAACCCTGCCCTATTCTGAGCCAATCTCATTGTCAACAATCTCCTTGTCAATTGTGCCAACATCATTGCCACAGCCAATCCAACTTATCCAGCATCTTCCTCTCCTACACTGATCCTCTAAACTTTCCAAGGATTATGTCCTTCTCTAAGAACTGGTCCCTCCCAAAAATATGCCACAGTATGTGAGACATAGCTTCAAATCCCTTCCCTCTAAGGAACAACTTGGTTTCACTCTCTTCAGGACAGATCTGTTTGTTCTCTTGGCAGCCCATATATGTTCAATACTCTTGGTATATGCTAGAACAGACACTAAGCAATGTTCCGGCTTAGCCCAGCATCTACAGGTAAGTTCACTAGAGGAGAGGTTAGCATCCACAGTCAATCTCTGTTAGCTCAACCCTGAGAGCATTTTTTTTCATGTTTCAGCTTTTTTTTTTAATTAATTTTAATGAAAGTTTACGGAGACTTAGGGTTTCCAGTCATTCATTGTTGCACTTTTCTCCCTCACCACTCCCTCCCACCCAATTCACTCTTCTCCTTGAAAAGAAAGAAAAACTCTTTCACTGTTATGCAATCCCTCCCCCCAAGTCCACTCCACCATGCAGCCTTCACCCCGGACTTCTGTAATACAAGAATACCCATTCATATATCCCTTTTAAACAGTTCTCATCTGTTTCAATGCAATATACATCATTCCTTCCCTCCTTTTCTGTCCCCCCTGAGATAAACTCACTGTAACAAAAAACAAAACAAAGCAAAACCAAGAAAACCCCTAAACCATGCAAAGGTATTCAACAGTGTGGATCATAATAAAATATGGTTAACATGGAGAAGAATGAGAATCCCAGAACACTTAAGTATGCTCATGTGAAACCTGTACCTAAAACAAGAAACAGTTGTACAAAAAGAACAAGAGAACACCATGAAAGGTGCCTGTCAGGTCTATATCCTTCCTCTATACCTACTCAGTCTGCATGCTGGGAAAATAATTTAAGAAGCTATATGAAGAAGAATGTGGCATATCAACAACTACATTATACAAATGATACAACTTTGCCTGCAAAAAAGTGAAGAAGACTTGAAGCATTTACTGAAGATCAACAACCACAATCTTCAACATGGCTTATACCTCAACATCAAGAAAATAAATCCTCGTCACTGGACCAACAGACAACATCATCATAGGTAGAGAAAAGCCTCAACTTTTCAACCATTTCATTTTACTTAGATCCACAATCAACACTTATGGTACCAGCTGTCAAATCAGAAAAGGTGCTGCACTGGGAAAATCAACTGTCAAGGACTTTTTCAAAGTGCTGAAGAAAAAGATTGTCTGTTTAGTGACTACGATGCATCTGATTAAAGACAGAGTATTTTCTTAATCAAATACTTTATATATCTACATCTATATCTATCTGTGTGTGTGTGTGTGTGTATATATATATATATATATATTTGCTCACAAAATTCATATACATTGTGTTTCACACTATTCTTCATTCACATTGTGTTTTACACAATCATTCCCATACATGGGGAAGAAATGATATTTTCAGTTACTTGCTATGCCCCTGAAAGTTGGACAATGACTAAGGGAAACAGAAGCAGGATTTATGCCTTTTAATTGTAATGTTGGAGAAGAGTATTGAATATTCATTAACTGTTAAAAGAACAAAGACCTGTCTTGGGGGAAGTGCCACCAGGGTGCTTGCTAGAGGCAAGTATGATGAAACTTCACCTCCCATACTTTGGGCATGCTGTCAGGAGGAGCCAGTCCTTAGGAAAAAGACATCATGTGGGAAAACGTGGTGGATGAGAAAGAGAGGGTAGTCAGTCAGTGGAAGGATGGCAGAGTGACTGCAACAACTGATATAAGCATGGTGAAGATGATGACGATCACAGGGTTTCTGTGAGTTGAATTTGACATGATGACACCTAATAAAAACAGTTATCAATAAAAACACTTAAGAAATGTTTGACACTTTCATTCATACGGAGCACTTTGTAGGGAGGCCTGTGTCCACTGTTTACATCATGCTCACATGAGTTTTTCTTTTCTGAAGTGATTATTTAGCAGTAGAACCAAATAAGTTTCAGTAAATTCATCTCAGCAAGACTGAAACATACACAACAAGAAAAGCTTTATTTAAAATTATTTTGGCCTCAGGAGTAAATGACATTTCTCCTTCATAAGGTTATTTTTTGTGTGTAAGAAATGAAAATTCCTTATACCTTAGACATAGGTGTCACTTACCCTAATGCATCCATCTGCCCCGGCAGTGATAACCTCGCCCTCATCCAGCATTATCTGGTTAATGGCACC